TAGCTGGGAATCGTAACTTTCGCTTACATTTCTCCTGTTTGAATAAACAGCTGGTTATTAGAAACAGATATAACCATAACTCATTGTGAATGAAACACTAATTGTATCCTTCACCAAATCGATTAATACTGAATTTAAAATCGGAATGTTAATAAACATAACAGCAATCCACTGTTTGGTGCATACGCTTCTAAGGCTAAATCAAAGATCTCTTTCAGTATCTAACATCTGTGTGTCTGTCCTAATAATTACTCATAACTACAGTAGGGCAGTTACTTTCGCTTCAGCAAATAGGCCCCTAGAGGCATTAGTCTAACATTTCTTCATCCCTGCTGTTATAACTCGTAAATCTGGATGAAAGAGTACCCAAGGTTACAGCTGGTTAGGTCGTCCATTCACCTCATCTTTCCATGACAACTAACATTTTTAGGCATAGAATAAGTGTGAGGTAGAGACGAAGTTGGGTACAGAACAGTGTAGTGTTTCATTCAATAAAAATAACAACTGATCGTATGGGTAAACGACGCAGACTGGTGATATAAAACAAAGGATAGGTTCCATAAAAAATCTCAAGAGCGTAAACCTTTTGATACGCAGACAATGCACGTTTTAGGTTACTTGTTACCCTTACCCTATCAACATGGGAGGTGGAGAGTCTTCGTTTTAATCACAAACATCTATGATGTATTTCCCCGTTATGATGTGTTGTTAAAATGTTGATCCTTCCTTTCTGTCATTAGAAGAAACGTTCTGTTGGATTCTTATTACACTTTCTTGAAAAGATATGGTGTTATATGGTTAGACGTATTGTTAAACTGACGTTGTATATTCTTGCCACTAGGGGAAATCTATTGTGACACGTTCGTTGTATTTTCTTGGTATTAGAGGGAACGTATTGTTAAACTGACGTTGTATATTCTTGCCACTAGGGGAAATCTATTGTGACACTTTCGTTGTATTTTCTTGGTATTAGAGGGAACGTATTGTTAAACTGACGTTGTATTTTCTTGGTATTAGAGGGAACGTATTGTTAAACTGACGTTGTATTTTCTTGGTATTAGAGGGAACGTATTGTTAAACTGACGTTGTATTTTCTTGGTATTAGAGGGGACGTATTGTTAAACTGACGTTGTATTTTTTTGTTACTACATTTATCTCTCCCCCCCCCCCCCAGTGGAGTATGCGGTAAGTTTACAGACTTATAACCTAGAATATAGGGTTCGATTCCCCATGGTGAACAGAGTGCGGAGAGCCTGTTGTGTAGTTTTGCACTAAAACAAACAAACTAACAAAAACATTTTACTCACTAACAGATATGTGTTGTAAGACTGTCATTACATTTTCTTGTCACTAAGGGAGATTTAAGTTGTTACATGTTATCCAATTCGAAGATAGACCGATCGATTCGTCGGACGCCGCTTTAATACGAATTTCTGCACGATCGGAATTTTGAAACGGGCGCTAGGAAACTGTTGTCTTCCTACATTACATGTATTATGGAAAGTCTCCTGGAGGTGTGGTGTGCGTTGGACAAGATAGCGGTGCGAGGGAGCTTTTGGCAATGGATACTACGCTGCATGATTGTTGCCGTCAGAAACAGATTGAAAGGACGTGGCAAAATGAGCTGTAAAAATATAAAATGAATGGACGTGGCGACATGGACTGTAAATATACGAAATGAATTGACGTGGCGACGTGGGTTGTAAAGATATGAAATGAACTGACATGACGACATGGGCTGTAAAGATATGAAATGAACTGACGTAGCGATATGGGCTGTAAAGATATGAAATGAACTGACGTGGCGACATGGGCTGTAAAAATATAAAATGAATGGACGTGGCGACATGGACTGTAAATATACGAAATGAATTGACGTGGCGACATGGGTTGTAAAGATATGAAATGAACTGACATGGCGACATGGGCTGTAATATACGAAATGAATTTACGTGGCAAAATGGGCTGTAAAAATATAAAATGAATGGACGTGGCGACATGGGCTGTAAAAATATGAAATGAATTGACGTAGCGACATGGGCTGTAAAGATATGAAATGAACTGACGTGGCGACATGGGCTGTAAAGATATGACATGAACTGACGTGGCGACATGGGCTATAAAGATAAGGTGAGGGTTCAAAATTTTTCTAGAAAAACGTATTCAACCGTTTCATTCGATCGCTAATTTGAAATGATAAAAAAATACGTAATAAAATAGAAGGAATGTGTCAATGAACGATAAAAAAAAGAAGCAAAACAATAGAATACGAAAAGGAGAAATTCTGATAGAAATATGTGCATACGAAGAAGAAGATAATTGTAAGACTGAGAAAACGTGTGAAAGAATAATGAGGTAATGAAGAAAGAAAGAAAACACCTGAGAAGGATAACGAATGTATATTTAGTACGATATATATTTAATTCTTAATATTAATCTGTTTGAAATATCGCAAAAGAAACATCATCGTAATTTTGAGTTCTTGTCGTATAAGAATGTGTTTCGTCTTAAGCAGGCCCCGGCATGGCCAGGTGGTTAGGGAGCTCGACTCGCAATCTGCGGGTTCGAATTCCCGTCCTACCAAACATGCTCGTCCTTTCAGCCGCGGTGGCGTTATAACGTGACTGTCAATCCCACTATTCGTTGGTAAAAAAAGTAGCCCAAAAGTTGGCGGTGATGAGTAGCAGACTTCCCTCTAGTCTTACACTGCTAAATTAAGGACGGCTAGAGCAAACAGCCCTCGTGTAGCTTTGCGCGAAATTC